GCAGCTGGTGGGTTTGACCTTTCTGTTAGCAGTCCAAGACCTGTGCGCTAAGCCCCAGGCTCCCCTTCACCGTTGTCCCCTGTGCAGCCGCCTTCTGACGTCCCTGCTGGTGTGACTGGACAGGAGGCCCGTTCTCCTGCGGCCACCTTCCAGTGCATGTCGCTGCATGCCGCGTGGAGGCCCCCACACTGCGCTGGAGAGCCTCCTAGGCTCCCCTTTCGCCTCACCTCCATGCTCCTGTGGGGTGGCTTGGTGTGAGGTGTGCTCAGGGCTTGTGTTCTGTGTGTGCGGGCCCTGTCTCCCCCACAGTGGCCCAGCGGCCCTGTCGTGCTCAGTCTTCCAGGTGAGGGGCATGAGCACGAGGAGCACCTTGGCCCGTGAGTCTGTCTCATGCACCAGTGCAGCGGCTCTGTAAAGTCTTCATGTCAGGATAGCCTTTCCTCTTGGCCCTATGCGTCTCCACAGTGTTGTTTCTTTGGTCTGCAGAGCCTGCTGGGATTTTGACTAGGGTCACATCACCCCAGATTGAGGGGTCGACGTTGTCATTCTGTTCATAGCATCCAGTCCACTCTGGAGTTCACCTTTCCTAGCATCGCTCCTCGTTCACGCCTGCCCCTGTCGGGACTGAAGAACTGCTGAGTTTTCAGACTGTGGGAGATTGTTGTCCTCCTCCAGCGTCCAGCATGTGGTCCGTCGTGTGTGTGTGTGTGTGTGTGTGCAAGGCCCGAGGGCTCTGCAGCTGCCCCGCTGCCCTCCTGAGTCTGGGAACAGTGACAGCTGGATTTGGGGTCCCTCTGTTTGCCTGTTTAGCAGCGATGAGAAAGACAGGCCAGCCCTCGTGGGAATGGTATGTTTGTTTCTCTTTTCAGGTGTTTATTCTCATGCTGTGTTATTGGTGGTGTTGGTGTTTGGTGGCGTCAACTTGACGTCATCTCATAGTGTTCTTTCCAGGGACTGGCCCTCCTAACAATATCCCCCAAAATAGGAGATGAAGTCCCCGTCCTTGCCTGGAAGGTTCACCTTGGTCACGTCTTCTCCAAGACAGACTTGCATGTTCTTTTGACAGTCCGTGGGATATTCACTGCCCTTTCCACAGAGATCAGTCATTGATTTTTCTTTGGTTGTCCTTACTCATTGTCCAACTTTCAGGTGCATAGGAAGTAATTGAAAAGACCTTGGCTTGAATCAGGTGCACCTTAGTCTTTAAGCTGACTTTATTGCTCTTTAGAACCTTGGAGAGGTCCTTAACATCAAATTTTCCCAAAGCAACACATCTTTTGATTTCTTGACTGCTGGTACCACTGATGTTGTTTGTGGATCAAAGCAAGATGAAACCGTTGTCAACTTCAATCTTTTCTCCATCAGACCCCGGATGAGAAGGATTGACGCAGTAACTGGGGTAACGGGAGTCAGTGTAGGAGATAGAGAGACTAGCTCAGGTTAGAGCAGAGTTTAGAGTGACTGTCCGTAGGGTCGCTGTGAGTCACAGGTGACTCGATGGCACACAAGAACGACATCATGATGTTGCTTATCTGCCCGGTGGTCAGGATTTCTTCCCCGCTGTTTGGGACATAGCGCATACTGACGGCTTGTAGCCTTTGATCTTCTGTAGCAAGTGTTTCAGGTACTTGCTCGCCGTAAGGAAGATCGTGTCATCTGCATAGTGCAGGTTGTTATGAGTCGTCCTCCGATCCTGATGTCACATTCTTCATAAAGTCCAGCTTCTGCAATGATTTGCCCAGCACACATATTGAATATGTATGGGAAAGGATATAGCCCTTACACGTACCTTTCTTGATTTTAAACCATGCACTGTTGGATTACTGGATAATCTGAAGATCGTCCAAAACCGACTAGAACAGTAAATAGAGAACTGCCAGAGTTCAAGCTGGATTTAGAAGAGGCTGTGGAACTAGAGGTATCATTGCTGATGTCAGATGGATCTTGCCTGAAAGCAGAGACTACCAGAAGAATGTCTGTTTTTGTTTATTGATTATGAAAAGGTATCTGTGTGGATTATAACAGATTATGACTAACGTTGTTGTTATGTGCCGTCGAGTCGCTTGCGACTCATAGCGACCCTGTGTACAACAGCCCTAAACTCTGCTCTG